ATGTCTTGCTTTTTTCCTAATACTTAGTTACTGCCTTCCTCTAAACAAATGCATCCTTTTTTTTGCCAAGGATTCCTTAAGAAAAACAAAACCATATTTACAATAACACCCACTGACCCAAGATAAGTGAATATGACCTAATCAAGAATACTGGTGCCCAGAGGTTCCCTTCTAAATATAAGTTCTCTTATTCTATGATCCAATGCTTGATTTTCATTATAAATTTTAAACCATATTTTTGAGACTCAATCCATATAATTTTAATAATGCATATATTCTTCCAGCACCTTAAATAAGAATAAATAAGACTTAATTTGGTATTGGAATAATCCAAATAATTTTTACTGCTGGATTGTTCAGTTGTTAAAAGTTGCCTTTCCAATTTCAACCAGCTGACCTCAGCTTTGGAACATGTGTAAATTAGTATCATGACAGAGAGAAAAGAGCATTTTTCCAAGGATTGGCCAGAAAATGTGTGATTTTTTTTTTCTTTGCCTTCAGCCTGTTGGCTTACCAGTTGCAAGGGTTAGATCTCAGGAGATTCAAAAGCTTGATTTGAATAAACAAGCAAAAATTTGGATACTTATCAAAACTCTGGCAAAAGTAGGCCAGAAATGGACCTGATTTTCTAGTGAGGTTTCCAGTATTTCCTGTTTCCAGTAAGACTGACCTATCTTGGGAAGAGCCTAGTAATGACTGGAACCAGCTGGACATAACTGAAGAACACTCAAAGACTGAAAAAAGCAAGAGAAAAGATAGTGCGTGTGATTTCAGCCTGCAAGAGAGATGGAGAAAATTAAAACATGGTACTGAAAATAAGTATCAACTACTTGACATGTTGTTTCTTGTATTTCCCTAGAGAAAAAAAAAAAATCTGAAAGATTTTTATCCTTTCTGCTGTCAGTACTGCCTCAGCAAAGAGATCTACCTCATGGACCTCAAGCCAACAAACCAATGCAATGGCTTAGTACCAAGGAGGGGAAATGACTATTTATCTGCTTTTGGCCATTCCTAAATTACTGTGCATCAACAAGTTGGAAGAGGCTACAATACAATCTATGATTAATAATAGCTGATAATGAGTTTTCCTTTCCTGAGCCAAACAGGACTATCCTTAGTCATTCCAAAGAGGTGGGCAATAAATCTATTTAGAAAAAGATGCTGAAGAGCCACTGAAGAGCGAGGTTAACCGTCTGTGATAAACGCAATTGATCAAAGTACAACATCCCTTCCAACCTTCTTCTGATGTGCCTTCCTGTGCAGAAAAGGTTAGTAAGCTAAACAGTATCCCCCGGGCTTCCTTGCAGCTAGAGTTCTAGGCATCATTTTGATTCCATTACTGAAATCACTAGTGCGAGATTTGAGGTAGACACCAGGATGAATGCTACCCTTCTGCTTCTGCCATTTCTGTAGGCAAACACCACGATGGCAGAATCAGCATGGCCCCAGCAACCAGTCATTAGCTTTGTGTGAGTCTAGTGGCAGGACCCAAGCCTTCCATTTTCTAAGTAGGGATTCTACAGCTGGCAAGTTATGAGAGGTTCACTATAGCATATTCTTGATAATGTTGATGTCCTGACTATTGTATGGATTTCTGATTATGGTGGTGGGTGGTACTGGAGTCAGCAGCTGTAGAAGCAGCTTCCTGATTATGGAAGATTTCGTAGCTAATTTGGTGTTCTTGTTCTGCGGCATGGCTTGAGTATTGTTCCTAGAAACTCAACTTCCCAATGGTTATCTAAGCCACTGAATATTCATTAATAAATGCCTTTCTGTTTTAAATTGACTAGAGTGCGTTCTGTTTTCTGCAACCAAATGCTAACTAATGCATCTCCTCCACAAGGTAGGTCTTACAGAAATCCCAACTTCTTCCCAGTTTCTGCACATGGACCTGAATGAGGAGTGAGGGTGGAGTAGAAAACAGAAGGGGTGTTCTCAGGAGCTGACTGATGTAGGGAGATTTTTACCCAGGATATCATTCTCGAATTGAGGAGTTGAGAAGGAGAGAGAGACTCAGAAGCCAGGAAATGGAGCCAAGTTTAGAGTAGTAGAGAAATTAAATTCTGTGTTAAATGGGAGTGGCTGAGATAAAGATAGAGACTGAGGATGAGTTGGAAGGTCTGTAGCAAAAGAAGCTGACATTGTGGAGCAAGAAGAGAGGTGCAACTCTGGGTACTCCCAAGTTCTTCGGGTTGCTATGAATTTAGTTAGAAATTGGCTCAAATACCCATTATACACACCCTAGTAAATCTAGCATTCCTCCCAACATGCCAAAGTGCCTTGGAAATGAGAGGTGACTCATATTTTCTTTAACCCTCTGAGGTTCCTGCTTCCACTGTTTCTCCACCTCTGTTCCCTGTTCCATCCTCCACAAGAGGATTTCCCCAAGGTGTTGCCCTCAAGCCAACCCTTCAAACACTTCAGTTTCCAAAGTGCCACTAGTTTAAGATTGTGTGTAGCAGACTTCACTCAAAGGTTAAGATATTACATCCCTGCTTATTACAGAAAACCATAAAGTTAAATATGAGTCCCTTTCTTTAAAGTCCCTTGGTCAATTTGACCCTCAAAGAATTCTCTTTGGTTCTTTCTTCCACTTAGTTCCTGCCTCATCCTGCCATGTAGTCAGGACCCTCCTGTTCCCTCCACCCAAATCTTGTATATTTCTCTGTTGGGCAGTTTTAATGTTTATTACCTTTCTCACTCAGCCTTGCCTGCCCAGATGGTCTTTTCTCCAAGCAAAATGGCTCATTGAGACAGTTTGTCTCCTAAGAGATGCTTGGCCACTAGCTCATAAATTAGGGTAGGAGGTGGATTTGCAGACATAGTAGAGGGTTTATATGAAGCAGAATACCAGAGGAGAGATGAGAGTAGGCATCCTGGCTCACACGGAAGTGGTGATTCACCTTGAACCCTTCCCACTGAAATGGGGGGAGAGCAGCAGGGATAGGTAATGGCATAAGGGACATAAGAAGGAAGACTGTTTCCTCTCTCATTCCTGGAAGGCTGGGAATCTGGTGGGCTGGTCTTTTCTCCTTTTGACTCAACCTTGGTACGTACATCCCATGGTGGTAGAATGTGGTAGTTAAGAGTCTGCCCTGAAGAGTCAGCCTGCTGGAATATATATCCCTACTCCACTACTCACCAGTTACATGGCTTTCAGGCAAGTTTGTCTGACACTCTGCATTTGTCAAGTGAGAACAACAATAGCACCTATCTTGTAGAGCTGATGGGAAAATGAAATGAGAAAATGTATGAAGTGCATAGAACAGTGCCTGAAATATCTTCAGTGTTCAGTAAAAGCCATCTATTGTTATGATAACAGAAATGTCCTCCTTAAAAAAAAAAAAACAGACTAGGATGGACACATCTAAGATACAGCACAAATCAGTTGGGCAGCAGAGTAAGATTAAGGGATGGAGCCCCCACTTGGCTATTTAAATACACTGTGGATGCTGCTTAGTCTGCCCGAGACTTAGTTTCTTCATCCATAAACTTGGGATGATTATACCTACCTCATGGGGCTCTTCTGAGGATAAAAGACAATAATGTTTATAAAGAGAATAGCACAGTGGCACTATTAAGTTACTCCTTGTCCAGGAACTTGGACTGATCTCTTTTATTCTCGATTTTCCACAGCCAGCCTTTGGGGATAAAAACAGCTGCAACAATAAGCTGTAAATGTCTCCCTTGTCTTCTTTTTTCTGTGTTGTCTAGTGTATTCTCAGTTGATTTTACAAACAGAATAGAATCAAAGCAACAATAGATATATCTTCATAATAATAATGCTTATAACCAGATAATTGAATAAACCAAACCTACCAGAGGGCCCACAGAATTCATTTTATTCTTTCTCTCCTTGCCCATTCAGTGTGCTCTTTGGTCTTCTTCCCTACTCTGGGGTAAAATCTCAGGTGAGGTCCCAAACTTTTCCCCATTGCTCTTAGATACTAAAAGGTCTTCAGGTCATTTCAACTATAAATAGAGACCAATTCAATGTAATAATAAAATAATCAAAACTACAAGCTTTCACAACTTGAATGGGCCTTGAGGGCAGTATGCTAAGAGAACTAAACCAGAGAAAGAAAAACACTGTGATATCACTTAATTGTGGAATTTTAAAAAGCCAAACTCAGAGATACAGGGAGTAGAGAGCAGTGGTGACCAGGGGTCACAGGGGAAGGGGAATGGGGAGATATTGTTCAAAGGGTACTAACTTCTAGTTATAAGACTGATAAGTTTGGGAGGCACCTGGGTGGCTCAGGCAGTTAAGCGCCTCCCTTCAGCTTAGGTCATGATCCCAGGGTCCTGGGATCAAGCTCCGTGCTGGGCTCCCTGCTCCTCGGGGAGCCTGCTTCTCCCTCTCCCTCTGCCTGCCACTCTCCCTGCTTGTGCTCTCTCTCTCTCACTGTCAATTAAATAAATAAAATCTTTAAAAAAGATTAATAAGTTTGGGAATCTAATGTACAACATGGCGATTATAGTTAATAATACTATTATCGTACACTCGAATGTTTCTAAGACTAGATCTTAAATATTGTCACCACAAAAAAGAAATGATAGTGATGTGACAGGATGGAGGTGGTAGCTAATCCTATCGTAGTAATCATTTTGTAATTTATAAATGTTATGTGTCAATCATATTTCAATAAAGCTAGTTGGGGGAGGAGGACTACAAGTTTTCACCTTGCTGACACTTTACCCATCCTTCAACACAAGCTTACAGTAGGTAAGAGGATGTGGTAGATTTCTCTATCCTTCTTACTCCTCCTCCTCTTCCACTTACTAGTTGCTGGTTAAGGATCTTCAGTATCCAGCATAGGGGGATGGTAGGAGAAGAAGGTGGAAGAAAGGGCTTACTTGTGTGGAGCAGTTGAAAAGGGGCATTGGTGCTCTGTGGCATGGCAGATGTCCACAGCTAACTCATGGTTTCCTGGAGCTCTGTTGCTGACCTTTGGAAAACTTCCTACTAGGCACCTCCAAATCCAACTCTTTTGTTCTAGGCATTGCCTGTCCTCCAGCTGGCTGCCTAGAAGTCTCCCCTGAGCCCTGATTTCCAGCAGCCGACCCTTCTTTCAAGGTAAGTGGACAACTCTCATTTTCGCACCCTCTTGCATGTTTACGGTTCCCCACAGTCTGAACCCCAGCTTCCCATGGAAGAATCCACAATGCAACATTTTCCAGTTCCCTTGGTGCTAGGGCATGGACATGTGACCAAGATTCTGCTGATCAGAGGCACCACATGAGGCTTTCAGGCCAGAGTTATTCATGTGAGGAAACGGCAAGCAGACATGGCTTCCCTGGTACCGATGTGAGTGACTGCAGGTACAGCTCAGTCCTGGAGTCAACAGAGGGCCAGCAGCAGCTTTCTCCCCAGGGTGAGGTTCTGAGACTGGTTTCCCAGAGACCAGATTTAAAACCTGTTGCAAAGATTCTGTAAGTCACTAACGCCCTATACTAAATCTCTCCCTGTGGTTCTGACTGGAGGGGGTTCTGTCATCTGTAGCAAAGAACTCTCACCAAGGTAAGACCCTCTAAAGGCCATCGGTCTAGCTATCTTTGAGGATGACACCAGACCAACTTCCTTTCAGGGGCCACATGCCGAGGGTTCACAATTACAAACAGAGCAGCTTACTCAGATACCATATTCACCCTGCTGCCGGAGAAAAGGCGATTGACCCAGCCCCAGGCTTGTAGACTCCTTGTGAGAGTCACATACCAGCCCCTGTGCCCCTAAGCTCCAGGAGACTCTTACCCATCTCTGCAACTAGCTCTCCAAAAACCCTCCTCACTTGGCATATGGCGAAGGGAATGCACTTCCCTCCCACCTCGACATAATAGGCACAGAAACAACCAGAACCCCACGATGTACCCCATGGATTTCTTCCCACCACTCCCACTCCTCGGTCTCCTCACTTCTTTCTTTTCTCCATCGGTTGCCCAGGCATGGCTCTTGGGCTAAAGCTGGCAGAAAAAGCTTTATAATTTCTCAGCATATTCCACACAGTTGGTCTGGCCCTTATCAGTCATAAAAGGCTGCACTGGGCAGGCACTGTACTGTTCTCAGCTTTTGAAGCTTCTGAAAAAACCTCTAAGATAGAGAGAGTCCCTTTTTAACATCCTGTTAAAAATAAACAGGCACGCAGCGGAATTTTTAAAAATAAAACCATATCAAAATTAGCATTTAGTTCGAGATTCCAAAGTTTCATCAAGTTCTCATTCAGTAATATTAACCAAGCCAACATTTCCTGCTTAGGCTATCAGCACGAAGAACACACATCCATTCATGTTGACAGGCTCTAACAGACTGACTCATGCAGAGGCATCAACAGGCTGCACTGAGCTGACAGGTTGTCAAACCCATAAACGGGGTGGGATGACGTCAGAAGGCCGGTCCATCATTGCTGCCTGCAGCTTGTGTTCATTACATGGAATGCTAGGCATGCTGTGAAGAGCTGGAAACAGAAAACCTTACCTGTTCTTCATCTGTATGGCTTACATAGTCCTGAGGGGAATAGGTTCACACACTATTTCTGTAAATTTTTTTTCCAGTCTGCTACTGCAGGATCTTTAGCTTTCCCTATATCCAAAATCCCCTCAGTTGTTTCTGCGAGGCCTTTGAAGACATCTGGTATGTCCTCATGAGACTGTCTTCTCAGAGACCCTGGGTGCACATCATTTTTTCCCTCTACAGCCCTGGATTCCTAGAAAGAACTACAGCAGAAGCTTCTCATGCCCACGAAGGTGCACCACACAGATGGCAAAGATATGATCAAGCCACACAGGGTTCCATAAAACTACGATATGCCGGACCTTCTGCTGTTGCCAATGCCACCAGCCCCTGTGGCCACTGCCATAATGTCACGGGCTGCCAAAGCTACCCCAAACAGCTCAAAGTGGCACCAGAGTACTTCACCTTCTCTGTCACTAAGGACACTCTCTGTCCCTCCTGGGGTGGCACTCTGCAATACGGGTTCCATGTGGATGTGACTTGGGCTTCCAGGTCTCACATAGGTCCTAGATAAACTGCCCTTGAATAGATTTGCAAGTATCCCCATATCTGAACCAGAGGGAAAGTTGAAAGGTCCTAAGAGGCAGGCTGCAAGATTCTGAATCCAACACATCTGCCGTGGACCACCTGTGGGGCCTGGGTTCGCTTCTCTGAGGCACCAGAGGTACCAGGAGAATGCACTACAAAGGTATCTTTGTATAAGCCCAGGCCTAGGTACACCCTATGGTGAAAATACCTTTGACTCTAAGAACACTGACTTCCCACAGATTCAAAGCCACAGTCATTATTCCAGAGGAAGTCATATGTTTTCAGAGGAAAAACCAACTAGTCAAAATTTTCCTATTGAATTTGCAATACCCACTAAATGTCCACTGAAGCAGAAAAGTTGATTTCTTAAAGCGGAGGACTGCCAACATTGCTCTACCTAACAAGGCAGTCTTCCAGAATGGGGAGAAGTATCAATGACATTCTACCCTCAGCACTCCTGCCCCATGTGACTACCTCATTCCCCATCTTCTCAAACATCTTCCATGATCACAAAGTGGTGTGTGCAGAGCCCTTAGCCCGACCATCCTCCTCTGGTTTTTCTGGCCCCAGATATCTTACTTTACCGCCACTTGCAACCCCAACTTCCCCAATATTATCTGAACTCTCATTATACCTAGCAGGACCTGGCCTCTCTACATATAATATAATATGTAACAGGAAATGATGCAGCCCATGTTGGCCAAGTTGGGAAAAGATTCAACTCAACATCACACACATGTACTGACAACTTGCTAGGTGACAAGTATTAAATAATGGATATGAGTCAAACTGACTTCACGGAGCTTACCATCTAACCCAAAAGAGCAATGTAGCAGAAAGGGTTATGGGCACAGACTCTGCAGAGAAAGTTGGGCTCCTCCATTTAATTAACTTTGTAACCTTTAGACTGAAGAACTTCCCTGGATACATATACTCATCCTTCAAAAGGAGACAAGAAGAGTATCTAATGCTTAGTATTGCTGTGAAGAAGTGACAAGTCAATGCACATAAAACACTCAGCAAAGTGCCTAGCATTATTAGCATTCATAATAATTATTAAGGAAGATAGACATGGACACAACTGCCTATGATAGAACAAAATAAATTATTTAGCAGTGTAGCAAAAGCACACACAATAACTATACACAATTCCATACCCCTTATTTGAGCCAAAGCTGTGTCCACAGCTAAGATTTAAATATACATTCATCCATGTGTATTTATTGATTGCCTACGATGTGCTAGACATGGTGCTGGACCTGAAGGATGCAGGGATAAGAGGAAATCATAAGGACTCAGCCTTGTCCTTAAAACACTATTTAGTCGGTTGTTAGACAGGTCTAACAAATTAGAGACACAAGTCTATCTACCAGATGTGTAGTGTGCAAAAGAGTTCATCCTTCAGCATTAATCAACTACCCGGTGGGGCATAGGTTACTAGTCAATCTGTGGTTTGGTTACTCTCCAGCCAGCTGTGGCCAGGTTGGTAGGATCATGTGTTACAAATGTGGCTGCCACCTCCTCCCCAGGGCTGTAGGCAGGGGTTTCCTCTAAAAGAATGGGTAGACTGGGCCCACGTGTTGGCATTGTTTAATACTAGCAGGCAGGTGCAGAAGATCAATCAGGTTTGTAGGGCAGTGTGGTTTCCAGAACAGAGTGGTCATTTATGCCAGTCCAAATACAAGAGAAGAGATGGAGTACTTGATTGGTCCACTTTTGTAATACTAAGTCTCCCGACCTCTTTATGTCCTATGACTTCCACTGCTGCTTAGGTTGATTCATGTATTTTGCCTTAAGGGAAGGTCTAAGTAAGCTCATAACCTTGTTCATCTCCCCAGATTTCCTTTTAAACTCCCAACCCCCCTCCAAAAAAGTACTCCTTTGTTTAACTCCTGTCCATAGCACAGGGACACTCCCCATTAACTGCTTCTTGAAAACTTGACACTCTTTTCCACAGTTTTTTTTTCTTGCCCCTTCATTAAGTCAGTTGCCAATGACCTTGGAAGGTGGTCTAGTGGAGTCCAAAAAGCATTACTTTTGGAGTCCTCCAGACCTGAGAATAAATTCTACTTCTATCACTCATTAACAGGTGATCTTTAACAGGTTATTAGTACATTACTCTTAGTCTTTACTTCATGACCTTTAAAATAAGACTAATAATTCCTACCTTATAATATCATTGTTAGATTAAATAAAATATGGTACGGAAAGCCCATAGCACAGGGCTACACATAGTGAGCACTCAGTAACCAGAAGCTCTTACTCGGTACCTCTGATGGGTATTTCACATCTATTATCTCATTTTGTTTTCTCTGACACACCCTAGCATAACAATAATGATCTCCTTGTCTTCCATTGTTCCCTGTCACATGGGGCAGGAGTGCTGAGGGTAGAATGTCATTGATACTTCTCCCCATTCTGGAAGACTGCCTTGTTAGGTAGAGCAATGTTGGCAGTCCTCCGCTTTAAGAGGTCTTTCTGAATCACCAGGTTCAAATCAACTTTCTCACTGAATTTCCATGGAGCATTCTAGCACCTTGCATGAGGTATTGGTTACCTTCTATATTACAGTGGTGTTATCAATATAACAGCTTCAACAATTTTGTGATACAAAGCAGATATTAAACAAATATATTCAAGTAATGGACATGGTATGAAGCCTTAAAATGCCTGAGAGTTTCATACACCTTTTTCTTCATAGCTTACATGTAAAATACCATGTTTTGGATAATAAGACCCAACCACCCTGGCTGCAAATGATTGAATAGGGCTTTGTGCCGGAGCCAAAGGCATCTGTGTTATAGGCGGGTTCTCTTTCTAGGAAAGTTTGAATTTGAGCCACATAGAAAGAGAGTAATTGGAAGAACTAGCATTTGAGAAAACCAAAAAAGCCATGGGCGATGCCTGTAAGCAGGCATCACAGGCAGTGGATGAGCAAGAAGCATGAGGTTGAACAGAGAGTAGGCAGAGGTGGAGCAGAAATCAGCAAGAGTAGTAGATGCAAACTCAGTCCTGTAGAAGCAACAAAGGGACAGCTGAGT